CACCTCATCCTTGAGGGACATGCCCAGGAAGAAGTCGATGATCTCAGATTCCTTGATGGGCAGGGAGAAGAGATAAATCTCCTCCAATGATTTTACCTTCTTATCTTTCACCAGGTGGCCCATTTTGGTGACGGGGAGCCACTCCTTGTCCTTGGCGTTGCCTCCTCGAGCTCCGCGGCCCCGTCCACGGCCGCGGCCTCGACCCCGCAGACCGCTACCGAAGCGGAAACCGCCGCGGGCTCCCATCCCAGGGCCTCCAGGCCCTCCCGCTGCACCGGCGTCATCCGCCATTTGGTGTTTTCTCAGAAAAAAAGTCAAATGGTATTTTTATTTCCAACTTTTTGAGAAAGCACCACACTGTCTTCCATGAGTGATTGCACCATTTACACTCCCAGCAATAGCAAATAAGCGTTCCAATTTCTCCACAACCTTCCCAGCATTTGTTGTTTGCTGCTCTGTTGAACTTTGCTATTGTTACTGGGATGAGACGAACAATTAAAATTTTACTTAAAAAAAAAAAAGAGAGAGAGACAAAGATGGTGAAACTTTGTCCTACATATTTTGTCAATGTTGTCAGGAAGGTCCAGTCCTTAGAAAAAGGCATGATGCTTGGAAAGGCAGAGAGTGTCTGTGAAAGAAGACCTCCAACAAGATGGAATGACATGTGATTTTCACAACGGATGGAGCCTCTTGGAGTCATGAAGACGGTGCCGGACAGGCCATGTTCTGGTTTGTTGTCCGCAGGTCGTTAGTGGTAGGCACGTAATAACAAAGCGAGAAATCTAGACAATCATCATCTAATGTTGCTAAAATAATTCTGTGAAAGGCTAATAAGAACTTAGTAAAGGATGATTCAGACTCCCAACAACTGAAGGCACTTTTCAACGTTGCCACCACTGAAAGCAGAAAAGCCACGTGCATTACTTCCCTTGGCTTGATGAGATGCAGTAAGAAATGCCCAGTAACATCAAGGAAGTATTCTTGGGGAAAAAAAATAAGGGGGGAAAAAAGGGTGAACTTGAATCTAATCAAGCCTGCATTTAACTATAATCATATATTTAAGCCTGTATTTAACTATAATCAGATATTTAAGTATAAGTTTACAGGAAAAAATAAAGGATAAGGGACCATCATTATACATGCCGTGAGCCAAATTAATCAAGTCGGAAACTGTACCCTTTTTTTAATTTTTATTGTATTATTTTTACGTGTACCGTCAAATCAGATCTGACTGGTCCAGGAGATTGCCCCCTCCTTCTCCAGCAGAGCATCTGGTGGATTTGAACCGCGTACCTTTGGGATTGCAGTGCAGTGTCTTGCCATTAGGCCACCAGAGCTCCCTGGAAATTGTACCTTTTTTTAAAAGAAATTGCACTTCTGAAAAAATAAACATTGTCAAGTCCTGTCTATGACTCCCAGTGACCTTATGAGCAACAGATCTGAATTTTGGCCTGCACCATCCTCACAGTTTCTGTCCTACTCAAGCTCACTGTTGTAGTCACTGTGTCAATCAATTTTGTTGAGGGTCTTTCTCTGATTCCCTGCTTTTCCTCACATATGTCTCTCTCCAAGGACTAGTTCCTCTTGAAAATATGATCAAATTAAGTCTAAGTTGTTATCAACCATCAGATCAAGAGACATACTGTATTGGGAAAGTCTGCTGTCAGTTATCTTGCCGAAGTCCTGAAGAGCAATGATGTCAGTTTAACGTCTAAGGTGTGCCTGGGTCAAGCCACAATCTTTTCAGTCTCCTGCTTTGCATCGGAGAACTGGACAACAAATAGGGATGACAAGAGAAGAAGAATCCAGGCATTTGATTTGTGCTGTTGGAGAAGAGTACTGAATATACCACAGACTAACAAAAGAACAGACACATCTTAGAGAAAGAGCAACCAGAATGTTCCTTAGAGGCAAGAATGGTCACGCTTTGTCTCATGTGCTTAGGACATGTTGTTAGGAGAGACTATTCCTGGGAAAGGCATAACATGCCAGGAAAGGCTGAGGGTCAATGAAGGGGAGGAGGACCCTCAATGAAATGAACGGTAACACGTTCTGCGGCAATAAACTAGAATGTGTGAAAGATGGTTAAGGGCAGCTAGCAGGGTGGGACAGAACTCAGATGTGACGTTCAGAGGGTCACTTGACTTGGACTTCACTCAACGGCACTTAACGTTTCACCATCCCTGCCTCTAAGGGGCATTCAGGTTTCACTTCCTTCAAGTCCGATTTGTATGTTCTTTTGATAATCCACAGAATAGTCAATATTCTTCACTAAGGCTAAGTAAATTATCAAGGTGGGGAAAGAACTTTAATTCCTTATGTGTTAGAGACACAAACTGAAGTATTAACTAAAGAATAATATGATTTCAAGGATTTTTACTCATGTACACTAGTCTTTTTTTCCTCCAGATATTTTATGGTTTGATTTTTTTTTAACAAATAAAGGAAATCAAACATGGACTAGGTTTTAGTTGATATTATTAGGTGCCATTGACTCGAGTACAACTCATAGTGACTTTATATAACAATAGACCTGAGCCCTGTCCTGTCCTGTGCCAACCTCACAATCTCTGATACACTCAAACTCATTGCTGCAGTCGCTGTGTCGATCCACCTGGTTGAGGGTCTTCCTCTCCTCCACCGCCCCTCCACCTTTTCAAGCATGATGTCCTTCATTCTCCAAGGAACAGCCTCGCCTCGCAACATGCCCAAAGTACACAAAACGAAGCTTTGTCATCTTCGCTTCCAAGGAGCAACCTGGCTTCACTTTCTCCAAGACGTGTCTGTTTGTTTATGGGACATTCAGTACACCCCTCCAACACCACAGCTTAAATGCATTCATTCTTCTGTCATCCTATTCACTGTCCAACTCTCAGATATATAGCAAATGACTGAAAAGACTGAGGTCTGAATCAACTACACGTAAGTCCTCAATCTCTTCAGTACTTTGGAGAGGTTCCTGACTATAGACTTTTCCAGTGCAATATGTCTCCTGATCTCCTGAGTGCTGGTGCCAAGTGTATTTACTGTGGATCCAAGAAAGATGAAGTCATTGACAGTTTCAACCTTTTCTCCATCTATCATGATGTCACCTATTGGTCTAGCAGTGAAAATTTTTGTTTTCTCGATGTTGAGATGTAATTTCTACTGAAGGCTGCAGTGTTTGATCTTCTGTGGATTAGATCAACAGTTACTCACGTGTAAGTTACAACTGAGGTTTAAGAAAATTAAAACAAGTCCACGAGAACCAAAATATGATCTTGAGTCGATCCCATATGAATTTATAAATCATCTTAAGAATAGGTTTGAAGCATGGAACACCAATAATCAAAGAACTGTAAGTTTGTTTTTTTGTTTGTTTGTTTGTTTATTTTTATTGTATTATTTTTATGTGTACCATCAAATCAGATCTGACTGCTACAGGAGGAGATTGCCCCCTCCTTCTCCAGCAGAGCATCTGGTGGATTTGAACTGCATACCTCTGGGATTGCAGTGCAGCGTCTTGCCACTTAGGCCACCAGAGCTCCCTTAGAACTATAAGTTTTGAGATGACATTAAGAATATCATTTATAGGCTGTATACTGGACTAGGGTGAAGGGATTGTATAACAAGGAAAGAATTTTTCATTTACTTTTTAAAGAGAAGAACGAACTGGAGGGGAGGGGTGGGCAGGGAGAAAAGTGTAACAATGAATGAAAGGAAATCCAAAGTTTCTGTAAATGTTCACTAAAATGAATAATAATAAAAATAAAAGGGGGAAAGAATATCATCCATGGTGAGAGCAAAAGTTCACTACAAACACAGAGAACAAAGAAAAAACCAAAATGGATGTTAGGGGAAACCCTGAAAACTGCACTAGAGCTTCAAGAAGTCAAAGCAAAGGGAAGAAAAATTGAAGTAAAAGAGCTGAACAGAGGATGTCAAAGGCATCGAAAGGAGATGGAGAGAATATACAGAATCACTGTCCCCAAAAGAACAGGCTGACACAGAAATATTTCAGGAAGTACCATGTGATCAAGATCAATGGAGAGGAGGAAGCTGATGTTAAGAATAATTAATACCAACCAGTGTGAGAATGGCATCGTGGTCCTGTTTAGCTTTAGTCCTTGTCTGTTAGAGATGCTTACTGAAGTATTAACTGACGAACAATGCTTAGGATTTTCTTGCAAACACTCCAGTACACACAGGTGCACACAGACACACCACAAAAGGGGACAGGCTGAAACACAACTAGCAGACTGTCGAGAACAGTTGACAGCTGGTAAAGGGTAGATACGAGCTCATAAAGATCTCTTCTCCTAGACTCAATGGGGGAAAGAAATCCCACAAGAAAGATATAAAAAAAACCCCAAAACTCATGATGGTTACCTCATAAACTGGTCCGATTTCATAATTTGTGAAAAATGCAACGGGTGGGTTGGCTACGAACACTGGAGTACCACCATCACTGTGAGAGGGAAAGGGAGGAAGGGGCTGTGAATTTCTCCAAACAGTGAAAAACCATACAGTAAATGATTCAAGTACAAGCAACCACTTTACACCATCTAAGGAATTCACAAGGGGCCATTCTTCTTGAAGGCGTCAGCCTGAGCTGACCCTTCTGCAGACTCAGGTACTTACGCATTTCATTTTCAATACGCAGGGCAAACACACTGGAAATTCAAACACCAAACTGCTGACTGGGTTTTAATGTAGTTGCATTTTTCCCTTCAGATATTGCTACTTTCTTATTTTTTTTAATAAGCACTTATTTTTTTTAAATGAGGGTTTTTTTAATAAGCACTTATTTGTCTAATAAAGAAATGTTCCTACTTTTAAATACTTGAAAGTTATGAAACCATGAAAGGACTTATTCTCTTCCTAAGGAAGATGACCAAAATGCAGATAAAAGTCACAATTTGCACCAATTATTTGCCATAGGTAAATTTTTAAAATATTTTTATTATCCAAGAAATATGAACCCAATGGGAGGAGCTTATGGCCTCAGAGAGTCTTCTCATCTGACCACACAACTTGGACGTCAGAGCAAAGGCCTAATATGACCTCTCAAACTCAGGACCCCCCGTTTTCACTCTAGAGGGTCCAGTGCTCTGAGAACCCACATCCTTGGAAGTCCTACCTCTGTTCTGACACGGCACCCTGGAATTCTCCCTTCTGTCTCGGTGTCTTTGGAGCGAAAACAAGAGACTTGCCTCCATATGGCGTGTTCGGCGGGAAGTACCGAGGGTTTCTGAGGAAGCGGTTTTGACTCTCCATTCGGGCAAGCAGAAGTCGCTCCAGTTCTCTCTGCCGCACACCTAAGTGGTTCATCCAGTTTTTGTTCTTTGGCGGCCCTGGTTTCTTTGAAATACACACAAGAATAAAGTCAACGGAAGACAAAGGGCCTGTACTGACGTATTGAGAGACTGAAAGCATGGACTTACAGCCGGCCCGTGCACAGCTTTACTCTCTCAAAGAAAATCGGAATCACAGGAAGCAGAGGGAAGAGCGCTGTCATGATGTGGGGATGTCACTAATGCCATAAAGGAAAATGTGTATGGATGACTGGATGGAAAATCAATTTGCTCTGTAAACTTTCAACTCAATGCCCAACAGAAATTGAACATAAATGAATGAATGGAAATCCAAAGTCTCTGTCAATTTTCATTAAAGTTAATAATAAAAGTATTTATGATGCACAGGTAATGGAAAGAGTAGAGGGAAAATACTGCAATAAATTTCAAAGATTAAAAAAAAAAAAAGAAATTGCACATGAACAAACCAATGAGAACTGTCCTCTCTGGTTAGCTCTGGATGCATCCTGACTTCTGGTGTCACCTTGAACTCCTTCCCGTTCACCACCCTCCTGTCCCCCCCCACACCCCACGCTGCTGGGCTTTGCCTTCAAAACAAACCTTGACCGCTTTTTTAGTCCGTTGTTCAGCCTGGAGAGACAAGTCCAACGTCAAAGTGTCCAAACTCAAATCTAACTCCTCAGCACCGGCACGCTTCTTCGCGCTCAAAACTCTTAACCCGGTCAGCTCTTTATCCGGGACAGCACGCTTCTCAGAACTGAACGTCGGTTTTTGATATCCGGGGAGGACACTACCTATGGCACCATGGAAATGAACTAAGTGACGCATCCAGGTAAGGAAGCAGCTGTTTCTGGGATGACTAATAAAAACAGCAAAGCCACAGGGAACTTTGTGGTTTCTCCTAAACTTTCACATTTGCTCTTACAGATGTTACTTTTAAGCATATGAACTACTTCGAATTTACATATTAAAGACTTGGGACCAGAGTGTTAAAATAGTTCTCATTTTTTTTCACACACAGAGATGGAAAACCATTCTCTCTCCCTCCCTCCCTTCCTCCCTCTCTCTCTCTCACACACACGCACACATACATATACCAAATGGCTGAAATTATTTAAAAATGCTCACAAGGAAATAAAAAATCATATTAGGTTTTCTCACTTATAAAATCATCCATAAAATATCAAGCTAAATATTCTTGCTAGCAAAAATGTGGTGAAACAGGTATGACCAGGCAAAATGCCCTGTGAATGGTCAATAAATATTACCTCTTTCCTTATTTACCTGCACAATAGAATGAGTTTCCAATAAACTTTACGGTACTGAAGGACTCAGAGCTCTGTGACATCAGATTCTGCTGTCGCTTTCTGTCCTTCCTTCCCTACATAGCTCAGCTCCTCAGCAGAACTCTTTTCTTATCAGCACCTTCAAGTCTTAGATCCTGTCCCTCCACCCCAAATCCTTCTTCAGCTCCAAAGCCCCAGACAGAAATATCAGTCTCACAGACTGTGAGTGCTGGGGAGCCTGTGTCCTGGGGACGCCTGGCCCTGTAAACACTCCTGATGTCCGCTTTGTGTATTCTCCCCATCTTCACGGTGACTCTCCCAAACCCCTCGTATCGCCACAGCCTCCAACGCCGCTCATTCTCAGAAGGTGTTGCCTTCCATGTCACAGGAAACCGGCTAAGATCCCGCACACATGCACACTCTTATCTGCCTCCCTATGCGACTGTCCCTCCATTCTCTAACTGTGAACGCACTCCTCTTTCCTGTGCCGACAAAGTCCATGTTTTATTTCTCTAATAAAATTTTTAACTGTAACTGTGATTTTAACAAAGGTTTCCAGAAAAGTTAGATTTTCATTCATTTATTGTTGCACATTTTACCCCCTCTCCTTTCCTTCTCCCTCCTCGAGTTCACAATTTTTAAAAATATTCCTTCATTGTTGCAAAAGGTCCATGTTTTAACTCCATCTCTCCCTTTTTCCACAGAGAAATTTGCCGTTTTGCCCATCAGTGCCTTTGATTCCTCCATCTCAACCTTTACTGGCATCTTTTCATTACATTTTAAATATTTTAAACCCTATCTTAAACATTCTCCTGTCTCCTTGCCACGGGCAGTAGACAAGGGCATCATGTTGGGAGGTCAGGGCTTTTGTCTTGAAGGCTCAAGACCTAATGAGGAAGTGGCCTTCTCAGGTCTGACTTTCCCAGCAGAAACTATCACAGTAAAGAGTAATGAGGGCAATGAAATACAACGTATATGAATGACTGTGTGAAACACGATGTAAATGGAAGATTGCATAAAACAATGTACATAAATAGAACACAATGTATATGAATTACTGTATGCAAACCAATAAAAAGAATTTTAAAATAAAGAGTAATGAGGAGAAATAAAAAGAATTTAAAAATAAAATAAAGAGTAATGAGGAGAAATCTCTGTGAAAAGGGAAATGGCAGCAAAGATGACCAATGTGGTCCTGGTGCTGAAGAATTTTTCTGGAATAACACCAGAGGTTCTCAGAGAGAGGGAACATTACCTTTAGGTGCCCGGCAAAATGGCACTGGGTCACTACAGTAATCTTCCGGGCTGATCAAGTGATGTTTCTGCAGTAGCTCGCTGTCCACACACCATCGGAACACGGACTTGACTGCACAGAACGGAAAGAGGACAAAGACGTTTCAACCCAGACCGACGTTAAGAATCTGCACCCAAACTCTGCTTGCCCTCAAAAGAACAAAATTCTTCCTCAGAAACAAGTGATAATGTTGAGATTTAAGAAACCAATATTCAAATGCTTTTAAGATGAAAACTTCCAAAACTTCTAAATTAATAAGCAAATACTTCACAGTCATTTAAAAGGGTTCAACCATTTGGCAAGGCTGTGTAATGGTATGACTGAAATGAAAATATTATGGAAAGGTCTATGACAAAATAGAATGAAGGATCATAGATTGAAGGGAGCTCTGGTGGTCTAACGGTAAGGTATTGTGCTGTCAATCCAGAGGCACTTAGTTCAAATCCTCTAGAAAAAGTTGGGGAGTCTCCTCCTGTGTGATTTCTTGCCTCTGAAAATCCACTAGGGGGTCAGCTCTGAGCTGGTTCTAGCTCAAAAGTTAAGAAAGAAAGAAAGAGAGAGAGAGAAAGAAAGAAAGAAAGAAAAAAAAACAAACACTGGTAGCTTGAACACTTAGCCCCCATTCCCTTCCCTCTCCGCACACTCTGCACGCAAAGCTTGCAGGCCCTTCTTGACCCTTGAGTGGGCCCTGTGGTGGCCTCTGGCCCATGAGATTAGCTGGGGTTTGAACGGAGCTTGTGTATTTGTACAGCTGAGCTTCCTCCTTGCACCTGTGCCATCGTCACAAGAAGAGCTTCTCTGATGAGCTGCTCTCCTTTCACCTTGGACCTCAGCACAGACCCTCGTGGAGCAAACCTGAGCCCTTCCTGGAGCAAGGAGCCAAGCTCAGCTCCAGCCACAGCTCGCAGCCGGCCAGGCCAGGGAGATCTACAACCACAGATCTAGCCGACCAACAAGTGGCACGGACACAAGAAAGAAAACCACATTTAATAAAGTGAATCATCAATTAACATCTACGGATGACAAAAGCAAAATACAGTGGTAAAGACATAGCACTCTTCGGAAGAATTAAGATTAGAAAAGGTCACCTTGGGCAAGTAGCCTAAGGCTGGAAGAGGTTAAAGCTTTTCATGTTATAAGCTCTTCTGAGAAATTTTTTACAATCATGTCTACTTACTACACTGATAAAAAAATAGGATTAGAGGAAGACTTTTAAGGTTTAAAGAGTTTTAAAACATTGTTCTCTGCCCCATTAACAATATTAGCTTGAGATATGTTGTTGTTATGTGCTGTTGAGTCAAAACCAACTTACAGCTGAACCTCCAGTGAATTTTCAGAGGCTGTAAACTGCACAGGAGAAGAGTGCCTTCCCAACTTTCTCTCAAATAGTAGCTGGTGGATTCAAACCACTTGCTTCTGACTTGGCAACACAATTCCTTACCCCTAGGCCACCAGCACTACCTTTGAGATACAGTGCCTTTGAATGGCTTTTTCCATTCAGAGACCCACTGTACCCAAGGGTGCAGGAGAAACAAGTAAATAATGCATGTCCTCCCCATCATCTGTGTTCATTTATGAAATCTAGGGGTTAGCCTCATTTCTATAAAACTCAAGGATCTGTATGATTGAAACCTTCAACCCACAGTCAAATTTCATGTGAAAAAAAGATTGCACCCTTTCCTTCCATACCCTTCCCTCCAGAGACGGATAGATAGATAGACAGATGGGTGGATGAAGTTTTTTCCTGAGAAAAGAAAGGCAACTGAGCAAAACAGAAAACATAAGTATAATTATTACAGAGACGGTGGATTCAAGAAAGAATTGTCATTGAATGTTGGTCAGTGGAGGTTTGACAACAACAGTAATTATTTAACGGGGAAGTTCTAGAATGATCCCACACAATCTGGTAGGCTAAACAGTTGTAAAAGGATTAAGTCTGGGATGCAACACCTTTCATCCCATCAGAGCCCTACTTCAATACGTTATTGTTGCTGTTATGTGCCATCAAGTTGCCTGTGAATCAGTGACCTTATGTACAACAGCTCTAAGCCCTGCTCTGTCCTGTGCCAACCTCACTGTCTCTGACACACCTACCCACATTACCTCAATCACTGACTCAATCCATCTCATCGGGGGGCTTCCTTTCCTGTGCTATCCCTCCACCCTCCAAAGCATGACATTCTCTCCAAGGACTGGTCCCTCCTTGCAACATGTCCAAAGTATGTCAGATGAAGCTTCAGAATCCTTGCCTCCAAGGATCAGCCTGGTCTCACCCTCTCTAGGAAGAACTTGTTTGTTCTCCTAGCAGTCTGTGGTATATTCAATACTCTTCTCCAGCACCACAGCTCAAAGACATCAATTCTCTTTCTATCCTCCCTAGTTACTATGGGGGAGTATTTTTAAGGTGTGGCCAGAAACATCTATCTCTAGATCAATAAAAGGAGAGAAAAGCAAGCAGAGATGAGGGAGCCTCAGTCCCACCAACAAAACGAGGACGCCAAAAGCAGAGCGCATCTTCTGGAGGCAGGTTCCCGGAGACAAAGTCTTTCCCTAGTGCTGGTCCCCTTCACTGGACTGCCAGTCTCCCAAACAGCAAGGAAGTAAGTTACAGTTTGCTAAAGCCACCCCCTGGTGTTATCGACATTTACTACAGATACTGCTTGATCTGAGTATACTAGGTAGCAAACACACAGTAAAACATTACTAGCGTGGGAACTGGAGTAGAGGACGTCTAGCGGTGCTTTATGCTCACCTGGGGGCAACTGGACAGTGTTCAAAGCTTCTCTAGCGTGGGCTTCTGCCTGGCGCATGACCCGCTCCTCCTCCGCCAAGGCCCGAGCGCGGGCCTGAATGATGTGCCTCTCCAGCATCTCGGCCTCATCCAGTCGCTTCTTGTAGACCTCTCGAATCTGGCAAATGGGTGAGCAGACACCCAGAAACACAGTTAAGACCACTTAGCTTGATTCCACGCACCCTAGTGTCAGAGCTTCTCACAAAACATTGAAGCACCGTCAGTCAAAGAGTTACAGACCCTTTGACAACCCAGTCTCTGGAGAAAACCTCTATGGTTAGCAGAGGGTCCACAAAAAGGAGGAAGACTTTCAACCAGACAGACTGACGGTGTCTGCAACAATTGCACAGCAAGGATTGTGAAGACAGTGTTTCCCCTGTTGTATATAAGCGCTCTCTCTCTCTCTCTCTCTCTGTGTAAGCTCTTCCAGGGAGCTACCTGGGAAGAGGTGGTGCTTGCTGCATTAACATCTCAGATACAATACTGATATTCATTTCATTAGTGTCTGTTCAGCACACTTGGATGGGAAGCTATAAAAAAAGTCAAAGTCATTGCCATTGGGCGAGAAAGAACTGATCACTGTCTCCTCCAGCGGGTTTCTGGAGATTGTAAATCACATAGGAGGAGACTTGTCATCTTTCTCCTGTGAAGCTACCAGTGGATTTGAACCGCCAATGAGGGCGCCGCCTTTCCCGCGCAGCTCTGTACACTACAACCGCAGGGCTCCTCTGGGAAACCTGGGGGCTGCTTCTGTGTCTGTGCTCTTTCACTGCTGAATCCCACTGCCTAGAACAGACTGTGGCACATTCAGTACAACAGCAGGAAGCATTCAACGAAACATGTTGTAAGGATGAAAGAGGAAGCACCTATCAGTAGAATGACAGAGAGAGGAACAAAGAGAGCTCAGAAGCCCATCTGAGAGGAAGGAAGTACAGGGCTGGGAGCGCCGTGTGGGAAAGGCCGGGGAAAGAGTGAGGTCAATGCCAGCGGAGTGGTCAGCAAGGCAGTGAGCCCTGGGACTCATCAGAGGACCCCAAGTCAGCCGGCTTCCTCCTCAGGCAGATGAGGAAGTGGGGTTGCTGTTTTGAACTCTGAACACGCTTCCCAGACTCCAGACGGGAATGGCTAACTCGTTTATCACTTGTGATATAAAAACAGAACAAAAACGGGGGTGCTTTTGGCTTTATCTGCTTAAGCAAACAACAGCATTCAGCTCTCTGATCAGTTGTTTTATTTATATGTTGTTGCTATTTTTGTGTACTGCTGAGTCCTAACAGATACCTGACTCATAGCAAGTTTTCAGAGGCATTTTTTTTTCACTTGGGAGACTCTCCCCTGGGGCAGCGAACTGGTGAATTTGCACCATGTACCTTGGGGTTGGCAGCTCAATTACTTACTACTAAGGTGCGTCTCATTTGGGCCATAGTCTTTTCTTTTTTTTTATTTTTATTTTCTTTTTATTATTTGTGTGTGTGTGTACCATCAAATCAGATTTGACTGGTACAGGAGGAGATGGTTCCTCCTTCTCCAGCAAAGCCTCTGGTGGATTTGAACCGCACACCTCTGGGATTGCAGTGCAGCTTCTTGCCACTAGGCCACCAGAGCTCGCCTGGGCCATAGTCTTTTCAATCACTTGCTTTGCATTTATCTGAAGAGTTGGACATGAATAAGGATGGCAGAAGAAGTGATGCCTTTGAGTTGTGGTGCTGGAGAAAAGCACTAAACATCCCATGGATGGCCAAAAGAATTGACAGTTATCTTGGAAAAAGTGTGGCTGGAGTGTTCCTTGGAGGCAAAAATGGCAAAGTTTCATCTCTCACACTTTGGACATTGCTAGGAGAGACTGTTTCTTAGATAAGGATATCATGCTTGGAAGGGTCAGAGAAAGAGAGGAAAGCCTCTCATTGGGATGGACTGACAGTGTGACTGCGGCAATGGGCTCAAGTGTATCAGAGATGGTGAGGCTGGTACAAGACAGGCCAGGGTTCATTGGGTCGCTGAGTCATATTCAAATCGATGGCACCTAACAAGAAACCACCACACTGCTGTAAAATGAGACTGAGATCAGGGTTGCAGGTAGACTGAGAAAGATGGGATAAATTATGTATACTGCATTGAAACAGGTGTGAGAGAGAACTGTTTAAAAGCGATATGTGATTAGGTATTATTGTCATGACAGGAGTCCAGAACCAAAGCTGCATAGTGGAGTGGACTTGGGGGGAGGCATTGTATAACAATGAAGGAATTTTTCTTCTACTTTTCAAAAAGAACTGGAGGGGAGGGGTGGGTAGGGAGAAAAGTGTAAAAATGAATGAATGGAAATACAAAAAACATAAATTTAAAAAAATAAAAAGCAGAGCGCAAAAAAAGGGGGGGGAAGTGACCAAAGCTCCCCATATATATATATATAATCTTTTAAGCTGTCAGATGTGTGGGCGTGTGTGTACAGAGGGGTAGATGCCAGAGGCATACATCGTTTTGTGGTTTCGCACAAGTGTGCAAAAGAGAGGCACACATTGTTTTGTGTTTTTGCACAAGGCTGCAAAGAGGCATACATCGTTTTGTGTTTGTGCACAAGCGTGCAAACAGGCATACATCGTTGTGTGTGTTTTTGCACAAGCGTGCAGAGGCACGCATCGTTTCGTGTTTTGCGCACGCGTGCAAACATAGCGTCCTCCGGTTGCACTGTCAACTTTTCGGTGGCACGGAGGTGGGTGGCTCTGGGAACTGGGCAGGCCCTGCCCCGGCCGCAGCGGGCCAGCCCGGCACCTCCGTGTCCCCGCGCCCCCGAGGCCGCCCCGGCGCGCGGGCACGAGGCGCGGGAGCGGCGCCGCGGTACCTGCTGCAGCGCGTCCACGAAGCGCTCGTGGTGCTCATCGTCGCTGCCGCGGCCCTTGATGAGGTTGGCGCAGCGGTGCTCGCCGATCACCTCGGCCGAGTACAGGTCGCGGAAGACCCGGGTCAGCACGTACGAGATGTCCTGGGTGCGCAGCGACGTGGGCCGCAGGGGCAGCAGCTGCGGCTCGGGCGGCGGGGTGCCGCGGCGGGGCTGGCCGGAGCGGGGGACGCCCTCGCTGGAGGCGGTGGACAGGCCGGAGGACGGCGGCGTGGACCGGCGGGGGCTGCGCGACACGGTCGACTCCTGCGGCGCCTCGGGGAACGCGGACCACTGGGAGCTGCCCGCCCGCTGCGCGCCGGAGCCCTCGGTCTCCATGGCAACAGTGCCGCCGCGGACGCCGGCACGCACTTCCGCTTCCTGTCCCGCCCCTTCCTGCTCACCGCCCTTTCTGAACGTGCTATCGGCGTGGTGTCGTCATCAGCTTTGATATCTTCTTTTTTTTTTTAATTAATTTTAATGAAAATTTACAGAGACTTAGGATTTCCATTCGTTCATTGTTCCACTTTCCTCTCTGCCCACCCCGCATTTACTCTTCTCCTTGAAAAAGAAAAGAAAAACTCTTTGTTATGCAATCCCTTCCCCCAAGTCCACTCCACTGTGCAGCCTTCATTCTGGACTCCTGTCATGACATTAATACCCACTCATATAACCCTTTTAAACAATTCTCTCCCACATCTGTTTCAATGCAGCATACATCATTCTTCCCCTCCTTCTCTGCCTTAACCCAATGTCAGTCCCATTTTACAACAGTGGCCCTATGCTATATTTGTCCTTTTGTGACTGAGATACTTCACTCAGCATAAAGTCCTCCAGGGTCACTCATTTTGTTTAATATTTCATGAGTTCCTTGTTTTTCAGTGCTGCATAGTATTCCACTGTGTGAATATACCAGAGCTGCTCTATCCATTCTTTTGTTGATGGGCACTTGGGTTGTTTCCAGCTCTTTGCTATTGTGAACAAAGCCGCAAAAAACATGGGTGTGCATGGACATCATCTTTATGAGAGAACTGGAAATTCTCAGCTGCTGCTGAAGAAAGGGCATTTGCACCAGAGCAGCCTCTGTTCATCCATCCATTCTTTACTTGTTTAACCGTTTGTTCATTCCGTTACTTTATCATCTGCGTTGGAAGTACAATCTGGGTGCACCTTAGCAGCAAGGAAGGTGAGGCTTCATCACATATACTTTGGGTATGTTGGACTGGAGGGGAAGCATCAAGATGATCATTTGGAGGAGTTAGGAAACTTGGGATTGTTGTTTGGTGCCCTCGAGTCGGCCACGACTCCTAACAACCCCATGAACAGTGGATCTGAACCTAGCTCTATCCTGCGCCATCGTCTTCATCTCTGATATATTGTTGCAGTCACCATGTCAGTCCATCTTGTTGACGGTCTTCCTCTCCTCCAGTGGCCCTCTTCCACCTTTCTGAGCATGATGTCCCTTACCAAGGACTGGACCCTGCTGACAACATGCCCCAGATGACTTTAGACAAAGTTTCACAGCTCTTGCCTTCAAGGAGCCTTCCGCTTAACTTTTCCCAAGACCTATTTGTCTACTCTTTCAGCAGTCTGTGGGATATTCCGCATTTTCTCCAGCATCACAATTCAAAAGGCATAGATTTTTCTTCTGTCATCTTTGGTCATTGTCCAACTTTCAGATGTATAGCAAGTAATTGAAAAGACCATGGCGTGAGTCAGGCCTTTGACTCAGGTAGTTGAGTCAGGTACACCTCAGTCTTTGAACTAACATCATTGGTCCTTAACAACTTTTAGAGGTCCCTGATGGCAGATTTTCCGAGTGCAACATGTCTTTTGATTTCTTAACTACTGATAACTGAATGTGTTGATTGTAGATCTAAGCAAGATCAAATAGTTGACAACTTCAGCCTTTTCTCTTTTATGATGTTGCCTGTTGGCACAGTGGCCCAACTTGCATCAGGATGAGAGAAATGGATTGGAGCTAGATATAAAAGTTACCATATCTCACAACAATGTACATAAATGGATACAATATAAACAATTTATTGTATGCAAATGAATAAAAAAGTTATCATAAAAGGTAGAATGTGCAACATTTGCTGATAATGGATTATGAGAAAGTCACTCATCCTTGCTTACTGCTGTGGAGTTAGAACCAATTCATGGCTAGGTTTCAGAGGCTGAAGTTCGCACAGGTAAACATTGTTCCGCTTTTTCTGCAGAGCAGCCACTAGGCTAACCGAGCTCCCTGTGAGAAACAAGAAGGACCAAAACATTACTCCCAGATGAGTGATTATACTATTTACAGAACTGGAGAAGAGGACCACACACGTCCAGGGCAGCGGCTTGTTAACATTGACCATTGTCATTGGCACACCATGGCTTCTGCTTACAGGTGACAAAACTGATCACTTGTTACCCCTGTTGTTAGCTTTCCTTAGAGCTTAAAACCCACTTCCTGCGATAAGCCACAGACGTGGGCCACTTCCACTTCTCTTGGGGTAGACTTAGCCTGTCATCTGTCCTCATAACTACCTTTCTAACCGCTTAAACTAGGCTGCTGGGACCCCTGCTTTGGACTATGTCCTCTTTAGAGGGAAGCCAGTGGAGGATCAGCTGTAAGTTGGTTCTAGTTCAATGGTAATGAGTATCAGTGTGCAACAGCCTGTAAATTGGCATTATTAATGTCCTAGTGTCAGGTCCAGACCAAGGTCAAAGGAGGAGAATGAAGGATTCAAAGAATATCAACATGTTAACAGAGGGAGTGATCAGCCTTGCCCACCTGGCTAAACCACAATGGAGTAACCCTCACTTCCCTTCCCAAAGGGAAAAACCTGCCCCAATCCAACTTAGGGCGAGGTATTCCCCTGGTCTGTCTCTCTCTCCAGACCAAGGAATTCTGCCTGGGAGCCACCTTAATAAAGTTTCTTCTTATTTTTTTTTTTAGTATTATTATTTTAATGAAAGTTTACAGAGACTTAGGGTTTCCAGTCATTCACTGTTGCACTTTTCTCCCTGCCCACCCCTTAGCCCCCTTCGATATTCTCTTTGAAAAGTAAAAGAAAAACTCTTTCATTGTTATGCAAACCCTCCCCTCCCCCAAGTTCACTCCACTGTGCAACCTTCATTCTGGACTCCTGTCATGACAATAATATCTAATCATATATCCCATTTAAATAGTTTTCTCCCTCTTCTCTTTCAATGCAGTATACATCATTCCTCCCCTCCTTCTCTGTCTTCCCTCAACCCCGATGTCAGTCCCATTTTACAACAGTGGCCCTATGCAATATTTGTCATTTTGTGACTGATACTTCACTCAGCATAATGTCCTCCAGGGTCATCTATTTTGCATAATATTTCATTAGTTCCTTGTTTTTCAATGCTGCATAGTATTCCATTGTATGAACATACCAGAGCTTCTCTATCCATTCGTTTGTTGATGGGCACTTGGGTTGTTTCCAGCTCTTTGCTATTGAGAACAAAGGCACAATAAACATAGGTGTGCATTAATAAAGCTTCTTAAGCTTTCTTTCTTTATCTGGTCCCTTCCTTGAGTCCTTGGCCTACGTCCAGTGCGAAGACCTAACACCTACAAGTTAGGATTTATGACACACAGGATAGTGAGATCAGGCTGAGAATTATGGCTGCACTAACAAGCGGCATTACCCATCACAGCAAGCAAGATATGCTTCTGCAGGAATTGGCTCTTCCAGCCAACAAGTCCAAAGTGTGTGAGACAGTTTCATCATCCTCACTTCTAAGGAGAATTGTGACTGTGCTTCTTTCAAACAGATTGGTATGTTCCTCTGGGAGTCTCGCTATGTTCCATGTTCTTCGATACTGCGGTTCAAAGGGATCAGTTTTACTTTGGTGTTTCTGATTCATCATCCAACTTTCACATGCATAAAAGGTGGTTCAAAATACCATGGCTTGGGCGAGCTTCCCTTTAGTCCTCAGCACCATTCTTGCTCTTCAGCACTTTAAACAGGTCCTTTGCAACACGTTTGTCCATTGCAGGATACTTTTTGATGTCTTTGGTTTGTTTGTTTGTTTGTGTTTGAATTTTTTATTAATGAAATTTTACAGAGACTTAGGGTTTCCATTCATTCATTGTTGCACTTTTCTCCCTGCCCACCTCTCCCCCAACTCATTCTTCTCCTTGAAAAGCAAAAGAAAAACTCTTTCATTGTTATACAATCCCTCCCCCCAAGTCTACTCCACTATACAGCCTTCATTCTGGACTCCTGTCATGACAATCATACCTAATCATACGTCCCTTTTAAGCAGTTCTCTCCCTCATCTGTTTCAATGCAGTATACATCATTCCTCCCCTCCTCTGTCTTTCCTCAACCCCAATGTCAGTCCCATTTTACAACAGTGGAACCATGCAGTATTTGTCCTTTTGTGACTAAGATATTTCACTCAGCATAATGTCCTCCACTTCATCCATTTTGCATATTATTTCAAGAGTTCCTTGTTTTTCAATGCTGCATAGCTGCTCTATTCTGAGCCAGTCTCACTGTCTCTGACACACCTACCCTCATTACCCCATTGTGTGAATATACCAGAGCTTCTCTATCCATTCATTTGTTGATGGGCACTTGGGTTGTTTCCAGCTCTTTGCTATCGCAAATAAAGCGACAATAAACATGAGTGTGCATATATCTTAACTTTTTGAGAAAACGCCATACAGCCTTCCATAGTGTTTGAACCATTTTACACTCCCACCAACAGTGAGTAAGGGTTCCGGTTTCTCCACAACCTCGCCAGCATTTGATATTTGCTGTTCTGTTAAATTTTGCTATTCTTACTGGGGTGAGATGATATCTCATAGTCGTTTTGAGCTTTTTTATTTCTTTTCTTTGAGCTTCTTTATTTCTTGACTGCTGCTTCCAGGGGTATTGATTGTGGATCCAAGTAAGATGAAATCCTGGCCTATTGTAGCAGTTAATGTTGTATGCCTAAGTGACCATGATCTTCAGGATAATGTAACTATCTTTAGTATAACTTTATTATCTTCTGGTGTTCTGTAACTATCCTAATCTCTATGGTGTTAATGAAGTATTGTTCTCTAACAATAAGATCCTGTCTGCTGACAGGAAGTCTTGTCTGATATGTGACCTGCATTGAAATGTGTTTAGACTCAGGCAAAGCTAAGGAGATTTTTGTCAGATCCCGCACATCTGACTGGCTGGCTCGTGGCCTCCAGGCTTGAACCAAGAGGCCTGGTGTACTTGCCAACCTTGAATTCGTCAGCCTCCAAAGACAGCTGTCTGCCACTCTGCTTCCCAACCTTTGAGTTCATCTGCCTTTGAAGTTTGCAGTCTCTGAAGTCAGAA